AATATGTTTTTATACTGTTGATATACAAGGACCCTAAAGAAATTTCTCCTATAATGACATAAAATTTATGAAATTTGAAGATGAAAATTTCATAAATTTTATGTAAATTTGTTTTTATTTTCCCTGTCAATTTTTTTCTCATTGAGTAGTACACCATATTTTTAAAAATTATTTCAAAATAATCATTTTGGACCCCTCTAATATATCGAGGGCCAGGCCGTTGCTAGCCTTTGGAACAGATACCTCCAACTAAGTTCTAACATGGCCGTCGTTGGCCTACAAAAAGAATAAATTCTTTTTGTATCAAAAAGAATTTATTCTTGGTTTAAAACCTAAAAGGATTTTTAAGTGATTTGACTTGAGTAAGTTGATTCGAGATGAAGTTTCTATAAGACTTAGACTTTACGAAAACAAAATAGGGTGTGATTTCAATAAGGGCTGCAACCTTAAACAATCCAATTAAGGTGCATCTCCAAATTTTATCATAACATGTAATTTCGGTGTAATTTTTATTTAGGATTATCAGAAAATCTATTTTTATATCTAATTATAAAATTTTAAACTCCAAAAATGATTAAATTCAAGTAGACCTATAAACATATGAAAATCTAGAAAATAGACGGTCTAGATAATGTATTGCAAGATGCACTATTTTTGGGATTCAAAATATATTTTTTTTTCCATATTCATACATCTTGATGATGAGATAATCAATTAGGGGGCTTTTCAACATTAAAACGACCTTTCCCGATGGATGTTTTAGATGGATATGTAATTCTACATTTTAAGTTTGCAATATTATATAAACTTTTTCCAACAAAATAAAGCTTCACCTCAAATATTTATCTGAAAAGCACTTTTGGCACAAAAATCTCCATGATAGCTCTAAAATCAATATTTAACATCAACAGTAAATTTTGAAACTAAAAAAATGTGCGGATCATGCAGATATTTGAACACTTATTTTAGGTTGAAATGCATGGTCTAGATGATTTGTTACAATATATTTAGAGATTGAAATCTTTTTTTTTTTTTACAACCATAATTTTCAAGCCGAGCTAATCAATGTAAAGGTTTTTCAATGCTTGAATTGTAATTTTCAATGAGTTATAAAGTGAGGCTTATTTTGATAGGACTGCAGCCCTATCAAACCACTTTCCATTACAAAAATATCATTCCCAGTATTGCACTAAATAGTTGAAAAGATACCCAAGTGAAAATAATTTTAAAAGCAAAGTAAATCCATTAATCTATGCACACGTTATTAGTAAATTGGTTAATTTATCCAAGTTTCTTAAGGCGAGTTTAAAACCTCATCAATGTCAAAAAAACTATTAAATTTGTTATTTTATCCATATTTCTTGAGGTTTTACTTTTCGGGTAATTAATTTTTGAGGTAATTTTACCGCTTCATCCATGTCAAAAGATTCTGTGCTCCCGTGGGTACAGTTCCTCCATTGATTATTTTACCATAACCCCTTCAAAGTAGCACTCAACTTCAAAACAAAAAAAAAAGGAAAAAGAAAAAAAAAATCAAATGCACCCTCGATGTGCTAGAGAAACCTTTACCTTTTAAACCTAGCACCCAACCTCAAAAAAAAAAAAAGAAAAAAAAAAAAGAAAAATAAAATAAAATAAAATACACTCCCTATGTAATGAAAAAAGATAACATCATAAGATTGAACAGTAGTTAGATAGTGTTTGATTAAAAACTAACTTCCTTTTTTTGGTTATAATCATATACTAATGCTTATATGGATCCTAGATTTTTATTTTTATTTTTAAATCCAAAGCAGCTCTTTCAGCCGACGGACTAAGCGTATTATATGATAATGCGGTAGCATACATGGGCACTATTAACTCATAACTCGCTTAAGATTTTATGTCGCAGGAGAGAATCATTGGCTTCTTTTTTTTTCGTTTTGGTTCAAATAAAAATCTAGGAAAAATGTAACTATCATATATAGAAAGGAGCAGGGCTTCAAAGTCTTCGTCGTTCTCTTCATTATCTGCGTCATTCTCCGTTTTTTCTCAGTACTCACGGAAAGTGTAGACTCTCGGCCTCTCTCTCGCTCCTCTGTGGCTTCTACAATGGTACGTTCATCGACTTCTCAATGAATTCCGAAGACTTTATTCAACTTTGTGACTCTAAAACCCTAATTTTTTTGCTTTCTCCATGATTTTCGTTGATGCATTGCATGTGAACTAAATCATGGTTTTTACATGGATTTTAAGATTAGAGGATAGTTTTCGATTCAGTTTTGGTTCAGATCATTAGGGTTTATGCGATATAGTGTCAGAGAACTTTTGCGTGCTTTTATTGCCAGGAAGTCTTGACATTTTGCAGTTTCTTTTTTTTCTTGCTAGTGTTTGTAAGGATCTATTAACTAGCTTTTGAGCTATCTTAAGTTGTAGATGGTCAGGATCTTGTTTGGTTTTACTGTCTGTTTCTTAATATAGAATCGATTTATCATATTTCTTGGCTAATTCTTGTGTATTTTCCGTGCTTATCAGTGTATTATCCCCTGTTAAACGCTTATTCTTTTGTTCTATATTAGGGTTATAGCGTCATGAAATTTTAGTTCTCAGAAGGAAGCACTAACTAGGGTTATGAAAATGAAGAATCGAAATTTGAATTAGTACAAGTAAGATGAAACAATTTCCTGTTTTTTGAGATGCAGTGAATTCATTAGTGAATAATGTGCAAGAGAAATGTAGTAATTACTTACGTATGTTTCAAATATAAATACTGGGCAGCAATGTAGGTTAATTAAGAAGGTTTAATTCCTCACATACAAGATTGTTTCATTGACAAATTGTTATATAACAGTTGTATAATAGTCTAATGTCATATTTTGTCTTACAAAAACACTATAATGATATTAATAGTGTGCTTGTTACTGCATTGTTATGGGGATTCGCCTATATTCGTATTTACTGTTTTTTATAAATGAATTAAAGGGCCATTTCATGTTATGTACAGCTGTTCTTTTCAGGTTGTTTATTAGATTACCCTGAGGAGGTGATAGTTTTATACTGAACTCCTCAAAATAGAAATAGTTTTTAGCATTGATAGTTACCATGCCCATTCTAGTAACTCATGAGATATGGGTACACTGATACTTGGGTTGTATTTTTCCCCTTTGTAAAAGACAAGATATTGGTATCTCAAGATCTTGTAAAGAGTAAAGAAACATTTGTTTTCCAAGGGGCAATATCTAAAAGTTCCCTTCCTGCCTGTTCTGATGCAAATTCAGAAAGCGCTTTCTTATAAATGTGCAGGTATAAGCAACTCTTAAGGGTTGTTAATAAAAATCCTGTTTTTTTATCACTGGCGTTTCATTATGTAAAATTTTTCATGTTTCAAAAATTTGGGATTTGGACTCAACTTGACCTGCGTATGAGAGAGAGAGAGGGAGAGAGAGCTTTTGGCTAGAAGATAAATGTTAGAAGATACCTGTCCTCATGTTTATAATTAAAATATTTTAAAATCAATTTAAAAGGGTTATAGAAGATTATGTTTCCTAAGCAATACACCCAAAATAGGATGTGATGAATTGCTTTTGAGCCATTGTGAAATTGTTAGGATCATGTTTCATAATAAAAAATAGGGAAAGTTACGTAAATATCCGTTTTAGTTTCCATTATTACCAAAATACTGAATACTTTCCGTTATTATTGATATGTCCGTTTTTTGGATTTCATAATAATTTTTTTAAAAAAGACAAAACTATCAATTTTTCGGTTTTTCAAAAACCGAAATCGGGCCAATTTTGGTTTTTGAAAAGCCAAAAATGACTCGTCTGTTAAATTCCATTGAAACTGCTTCATACCACCAGTTCATCACCCAAAGCACTAGCCTCACCAACTGGAAATACGCTTGTGGCTTCATAAAAAATTGCACCAAATTCAAAAATGGCTAATACAAAAATCAATTATCTCAAAAAAAAAAAATACAAAAATCAAGTAGAATCAGAGAAAAACGTAGGGTAAAAAAGCAGTGGAATCATTATCAGATGGTATTCACCATGTTCTAAAAACAAAATGAATAAAAAGGAAAAAAAAGTATCATGTAGACTGGTTTCTCGGTGGAAGAGAGAGAGAGAGAGAGAGAGAGAGAGAGAGAGAGAGAGGAGGAGGAGAGAG